TGTCACGTACGGCCTCGTGAATATTTTTGGCAGGAAAATTGCTAACTCAAGAAGAAAATTTGGAAACAACTTCGCAAGCTTCGAGGACCAGCATATCACACATTTCTAGCTAGTGGGCTTCCGAGCGATCTCATTACGGCGCAAAATATTGCAAAAACGCATGATCACACGGGCCAGCCCGGTGCGCGTCGCAAATGATCTAGTTCCTGTCCCGACAAAAAATCTCGCGAAGCCATATGTAACAGCCACGCATGCCGTGGGAGAGAGAGGGGGAGGAGAGGGGGAAAGGGCTGAATTTCAAACCTTAGAGTTCTAAACTTCAGTTTCCTAGCTTTTCCGGCTCCCGAGTTACCAAAAAATTTCACGGTCCGTGCTTGAGTAACAAGCGTAGCGGGTAGTTGAATTTGAAATCTTTAAGTTGTACGTTGGTCGGAACATTCCTGAAAATTTCATCCTCCCAATTTTCCTGGTCTTCTAGTTAGCGAATTTTCCCACCAAAAACTTTCACAGGGTCGTAATTAAGAACCAAGCAAAACTGGAGACTAAATTTGAGCACGTTAAGCTGTGTATGGGCTGAGAAAATCACCTCAAAATTTCAGCCTCCCAGCTTTTCTGATTCCCGAGTTTTTTCGCCCACATTCATAACTATGCTTCGGTGCTACAGTGTAGGTTGCGCAAACGCCTTTATTACAGCGTCCGAAACTCTAGCGAGGTCATCGCATTCGTTAGCAGTTGCGGCTTGGTTCAAACTGCAGACTGCAGATTTCTCAACCCTGTTTACGAAACTGCCTCATTGCGTTATTTATGGCGCGCTCGGTTATCTGTTATCCTTGTGCTTTCACAACGCTCACGCCGACGCTCTACATATCACCACCAGGGCCATCCGTTATGTTAGCTACACAAGATCATTTGGTTACGGTACAGTCTATTCTTCCACGGAAATCGGCAGTGTCCTGCGTGCGGTAGTTGGCGAAGCCTATGTACGTTTTAGCGGTTACATCTTCCGACAGGTTAAGGATATCCCTAAGGGAGGTAATGCAAGCTCTGATATCGCCGATCTCACTCTTTCGGTACTCGAATTTAGGTTCACCAGGATCCCCAGCAATCCACCAGTCCTTCTTTGTCGATACGTCGACGATCTGCTTATGCTTAATTGTCCAGATTCTTATCCGCCCCTGCAGCACATATATGGCCAGCATTTTGGCACTGAAATCACTGGTTCTGATATTTCCGTTGACTACTCAGATATGACCTTCACCATAGGTGAAGAAGGCCACATAGGATCCACTCTTTATTGTAGAAGTAAC